ATATAACCCTATATCTAACTCTTTTAGTGTTAGGACTTACAAACAACCGTTATGTAAACAAAACTATAATACTCTCTTTAGCAACTTTGTTCTTGAAAAGTTAGAATACAATAACACTCTCGATTTAAAAAAATGTCAATTTAATACAGTTTGGTGTCATCATTTCTGCTTAATTAAGGCGTTTTATAGGTTATCGTTTAACTGTATTTTGGGGCATTATATACAATATCGAACTTTACATGATGCCTAAAAATACGCATATCTAGTTTTGTCAATAATTAGCGATCATGGAAGAAGAGACAAACAATTAACCGAAATTCAACTCGCCTCGTCTATTTATTGAAGGGGTTACAAACAACAAAATTAGTATAGTGTACTAAGTAGCAACAGCATAGAGGAAATTCAAATCAAATAATATGTTACTACAAAATTACAAGACAATAAATTCGGTTATTTTCCACTAAAGGATATCTACTTATGGTCAGCATAATCGGCCTACTGAGCATACTTTTCGCAACAGCATCTTGAGACCTATCATTCATATAGAATAATATTCGACGCAATAGACCACGTCCAGCACCCTGTGAAGAAATTATAGCAGTCGTGGCTGACAGTGTACACGAAGACCTTGAAGAGTCGGCCCTGCAACTTGGAATGACGTATGACGTAAGAAATACAGCTTGTACATGAACACACCGTTAGACTTTTTCCTGTGGAGATATTTAAAGTCCATAGTCTTTGCGGACAATTCCGATTTTACCAGTCGAAATGCTCGAAAGAAGTCATCGAAAATTGGACTCAAGGATAGACCACCTGAGACGTAAGCGCGGCCAATATTTAAAAAAGGTAATGTACTTTGGATCGATAACAAATGACCACGCTGCCAAACATATATCCAAAGTAATTCCGGCTCCCAAAACTTTGAACGTATTTTTCTCGAAACGCTGTTTTCAGAGTAAAGTATGGGTTAAAATACTTATGTGGCAGTATGTTGCAAATTTAAGTTTTAGCACTAAATGATATCCGATCAGACCTTTACCTAGCCCTAATATACTAGCTGAGTTTAAGAACAAGAAATTGGCTCGGTCTAACAAAACTATTGCACGGAACACAATCATTGGAGGGTTGAAGATTAGCAGAAGTTTACTCGGTCAGAAGGTTCTGATGGTAAGAAGTATTAATGGCACCGATCTTATTGAAAACAAGTAAGAAAGGCTAAGTTTGAGTGTCACCGAAGATTTTATACTCTCGCATGACAAGTTTCATCAAGACATCTCAATTTTTACTCAAGTAGCTTGCACGGACGGACAGACAGACATCCGGATTTCAACTCTACTCGTCACCCTGATCACTTTGGTATATGTAACCATATATCTGAAGGTATATACTGTTATTAGCAACTTTATTGCGAGAGTATAAAAATGATGCCCTTTGAATTACATGAAAATATCTGAGAGATTTACCGATATTTTCGGGAAAAATTAGGTTAGGTTAGGTTAGGCACTGAGTTCTTCGTGTTCGATATCAGGGAACTTGAAAAGTTATAGCCCGATCACGACAATTTTTTCCATAAGGCATACCTCAGCTCGAATACCCTATTTGTGTAAAGTTTTATTCCGCTATCATCATTGGTTCCTAATGTATATATTATACAGAGAAGGCACCAGATGGAATTCATAGCGTTATATTGGAAGTAGGCGTGGTTGAGAACCGATTTCACCCATATTTCGTACATGTCATCAGGGTGTTAAGAAACTATTATACACCGATAATAGTTATGTAGATATGGTTTTTGGTCCATAAGTGGACGACACCACGCCCATTTTCAATTGAAAAGAAAAGTCTGAAAAGCAGCTTCCTTTTGCCATTTCTTTCGTAAAGTTTAGTGTTTCTGACGTTTTTTGTTATTCGGTTAACGCACTTTTAGTGATTTTCAACATAACCTTTGTATGGGAGGTGGGCTTGGTTGTTATCCGATTTCTTCCATTTTTGAACTGTATATGGAAATGACAGAAGAAAACGACTGTGTAGAGTTTGGTTGACATAGCGGACGGACGGACTTACAAACAGCCGTTTTGTGAACAAAATTATAATACTCTCCTCAGCAACTTTGTTGCGAGAGTATAATTAGGTGACAGACAAAGAAGCATAGAAAAAGAGGGGACTTTGTTGGTGTGGGATATACATATCTTTAAGAAGAATTTGTCACACTTCGTGGCCAAATATGCTCATCCATCTCGATACCCAAAGAGACGGGGATCCTAAATTAAATTGGCTTCTTGATGAAAATTTCCACTGGGCTCTGCTGAATAAACAATGAAACCCCACCCAAGGAATTGGATGAGTTGTTGGACCGTGTGCAGGCGGAGTGGGACAAATACATAAAAAATTAAGTTGAAACAATGAATGGAAATATTTACTAATATCGATGCATTTTTTCTATATATTTTACTGGCCTAAGCGTCGTTGTTGTTCAGTGACTCCCCAGTTAAATTTTACTAGTTTTTACTAAAGTAATTTCAGTCCAGGCTAACTTTGAACCAAAATGAAGCAACATTTGGACCTATATACATAAAACCGTGCCAACTAGCATAAATAACATAAGCATATATTTCACGTATAAGAAAAAAAAAATACCTCATATCACATGTACGTCTCTTTGTATTAAAAAGAAAATACATATCTTCTATTGCAATGTAAGGTATATAGTTTATGGAAGGGCTTGTTTATTATGTTAACTTAAATTTCTCTTCTTCCTCGACCGATTGTACAATATATACACTTGTACATACATACATATGCAAGCTTGGTTGGTTAACTTTATGAAAGTTTATGGACACTGTCTGCTTTCTTATTCAGTTCCATGCCCAAAAACTCGAACGTATCTTTAATATTCTCCTCCTCATTGAATATATCGTCTTCGCCTAATTCCACTTCCTCCTGTTCTTCTTCTTCGTTTGCGGCCGCTGCTGCAGCCAAAGCCACTTTTACAGCTATTTGTTCATCATTGCGTCGGCTCCAATTTTGGTTGCGCATCAAAAATTCATTATAACGAGTTGGCTTAAACGGATGCCCATAAAATGTACGCTTGAATGGACTATTAACGGAACGTAATGACATTCGCCAGCCAACTGGGATTTGTAATTGAATGCAACCGACAGGTAGGAGAAGCGAAAACATACACATATTGTCAAGGTCGGCCTCTAAAGGTTGTCCAGCTAAGTATACTCACTCTTTCCCAACCAGGAGTCCTCGCGCTTTACTTTCGGTCCCAGATGCACCGCATTCAGCGCAGCCAACACCTGTGTACTGTTTTGCATATCGGCAATATTGTGATGTAAACTGCTTTCCGCAGCGAGATTTTCGATACCTGAGTGCCCGACGCTGTGGTGTTGCATAGGGGCAGCGGCTAATTGCAATGCGGCAGGATACATTTCACCGCCCGACGCCATTTCGGGATGCATGCCATAATCCATGCTGTATGGCATCATGTAGGGTGTGTGTTCAGGGAATTGATACATCATTCTGCGTGAAGAGTGAGTGAATTGATTTTAATTAGATTTCTGCAAACTCAATAGGCAAATTTGTGTGTAGCACTGTGCAAATATATAGAATTATGTGAGGGTACTCACTTTTCCGAGGCATTATCCATTAGCTTTTTCACAATAACCATTGCCGCTACAATGAATGCCAATTTGGAGACGGCTAATGCTTTGAGTGTCAGCAAACCGACTGCTTTTGCAGCTACCATGGTCCATCCAAAAGTGGTTGCGGCCAAATACATTGGTATGTACATTTGGAATTGCTTTTTGTCCTTTTCTTGTTTTTGTTTGCGGAACCGTCCACGAAGACCACCGCCACCATCATTACCTCCTCCTCCCAACATACCCCCACCACCGTTGCCACCGCCAATACCTGAACCTAGACTGCTAAGAAGACCTTCTCCACCCCCTCCACCACCGCCGCCTAGACCACCACCCCCAAGTCCACCTCGACCTGCAAGAAAAAAAAAAAAAAAAAAAAAAAAAAAAAAAAAAAAAAAAAAAAAWAAAAAAAAAAAAAAAAAAAAAAAAAAAAAATTAGAAGTAAATTCAGAAAAGAAAGAATCTTAATTCATATTTTTAAAGTACCACTTAACAGCTATGGAATTTTAACCTCGACTAAAACTGATTTAGCAGAGTGTTATAGTTGTTTTCACCTAACGGTTATACGTATCTCCTAAAACTATGCGAGATAGATATAGGGTTATATTTATATATGTATGTATATGCTCAGGATGTACAGAAAAGTTGAAATCCGGATGACTATCTGTCCGTCCATGCAAGCTGTAACTTGAGTAAAAATTTAGATATCTTTGATAAAAGCTGGCATGCGGTTTCTTTAGTAAAAAACAATTACGAGTTCTTTGTTAGGCGTAATTGGACCACTGTCACGCCCACAAAATTCCAATTACCGAAAATCTATAAAAAGCCATAATTAGGCGCTAAATTAAGATAAAAACCTGTATTTTGGCACAGATCGCGGTAGCAAGGGGCAACTATGAGCAAAAACTTTTTAAAAAGTGGGCGTGGCGCCGCCTTAGAATAAATTTAATGTACATAACAAGCTACTAAAGCTGGAACAACCAAGCTCAGCTTAAATATTTTAACAACTCCTACCAAGAGGGTAAAAATGAATAAAATCGGAAGATAAGCCCGGTCACTTCCTACATAACGGTGCCCTCAAAACCATTAAAAGCGCAATAAAGCAATACCCAATTACGTCAGAGACATTAAATTTTACCTCCGAGATGGTAGGAGAGGGCTTTACGGGAGCCAGCGTGAAAATTTTACGATGGGCGTGGCACCATTTAGTATGAAGCATTTTGCTGATATTCCTATGTCACGATGCGAAAGTGGGCGAAATCAGACCACAACCACGTCTATGGTAGGCAAGTAAGTAACACAAAGTTAAATTCCACTTAATTCTTTCACTTTTGAGTACTCAAATCAAGAAGTAATTAATAGAACGGAATAAAATTTTGCAGTAATAATTCCCTTACCGAAGAGCACCTTTTGATCAGAAATTGTTCCAAATCCAACCAAAACTGTTTAAGACCGTAGACCGAATATGTAGACACCAGTTGAATTTTGACCGAAAATATTGTTCAATGTTTGAGATTGGAAATTGAAATTCAGGCAGAATCTTTTCCTAACAATAGGTGTTCTGTGTAAAGATTTTCTAACTTCCAGGTGTCTTTATGGTGGAAATATCGACCAATATATGAGTTATCGCAATGAAAATTACAGAACAAGTTTTGCTCGTAACAGTGCATTGTGCCTAAAATGTATAAAATTGGACGAAACCTTGACCTATCCCCCACAGAGAACATTTTTTGAGTAGGTGGCATATTAATAGTATGTGAAATGAGCAAAAATAGATAAAATCGAGTCGATACTATCAGCCACTCTCATATACTACATATAATTTCATTTTTCTAACAAATCTTATGCCAAATATGTCGGTCAGTGTATGAGTTGTATCGAATATGCGTGGAATCCGATACTTTAGTTAACATTTTACACCTTAACTTATTGCCCTGGTATTGATTCCTCCAAGTTGCAAGAGTATAATATGGTCGGTTGCACCCGAACTTGGCCCTTCCATACTTGTTGACTATAATTTCCACAAATATCATCAAACGAAATTAATCACATCGATAAAGTTTTGGTATCACATTTATTGAAACCTTTAGTTATTTGAATATCTGGGTAGATACAAAGTAAGTAGATTGACATGGAGTATCCAATAGCAGTAAATTAAACTCAGCGGTTGGAACGGAAATTAGATCAGGGTTAAGACTAGTTATTAACCGATCAAATCTTCGTATGGTTTTAAGCAAACTTTAATAAGAAAACTATAAATATTTGCAATATGGGAGTTGATGAGATATACATAGTATATGTAGTATATATGACTTTCGTCCATTTTAGATATTTTGAATCAATATAGAAGAGTAAAGATGTAGCAATTTTAGCACTGCTTATTACTAGGAAATTCCTATGAGTTAAATTCACTCTACGTTTTATTCTATATCCGAAATAAAATATATTATATTAAAAGAAGAAAGCACGTTAACTCCGGTTGCACCGAAGCTATAATACATTTTACATATACAAAATATATCTTACAGCAACCGTGATCGTTCTTTTTGAATGGCAGCTATGTGATATAGTGATCCGACCTGAGCACATTCCTCGCATTGCATTATACCCTTAGGCAAAAGGCAAAAATCCATTCCAAATTTCTTGAAGACATCATCAAATTATAAAGTTTTCCATTTAAGCACACTAGTCCGATGGTTCAGTTTGTGTGACACCTGCAGGTATATGCTATAATAGCCTGATATCGCCGGTTCCGAGAAATGTGCAGCTTCTTATATGAAACATTTATCTCTCTTTTTCTGACGATTCCTTTTGGGTATTACAAACAGTTGAATATACCGTGTCCAGGGTATAGTTTGTTCGCGATTATTTATGATTAACATTAATAGTATGAAACTGATACAAAAATTATTTTGCAAATAACCACATGATGCTAAGCGAAATATTTTAATTAACTTTTTTGTGATTAATATTTATACCCCTAACGGGGTATATTTTGAGTTTTATCAAGTTTGTAACACTCTAAAGGAAACGCTATAAAATATATGTTTATCATTTATAACATATCAGCCTGACCCGCTGAGTCGATTAGCCATGGCCGTCTGTCCATCTGAACTGTCTATATGTGTTTTGTACACGTTCTTTACTCCCCAAGAAGCTATTCATATTCTGGAACTGCCGACATTGAACCTCAATAGCATATAGTGGTTATACAAACTGAACGGTCAAACTCAATCTTTTCTGTATGGATTATCATCTAAGGCAACAATACAATCACCAAACACATTTAACAAATTTAATGGACACTGATTATAATCTAAGTGTACGAATAAATTGTTCAGATCGAAAATACATATAAAATATAGCATATAGTTGTCATACAAACTAAATTATCCGAATTAAGTTCCTATGGGAAACTTTTTTATTTCTGAAGAGTCTTATAGCTTCCGTGCAATGGAAGTTTATTTTTTTTTTTTTTTTTAATTAATTTAAAATTATAAAAGTTGTCAGATTAATGCTCACAAATTTTATCAAGCGCTAAAGCTCTACGAAGTCGTAAGCCAGCTTTAAGTTTCCTTGGCTGGCTTCTTCTGATAAAGTGTTAATTATGAATTTTTACAACTTAATATATTTTAGCGCGAAATATAGAGTATGCTTTGAAAAAATTATAATTTTCATTACTCCAAGTACATAATGGGAATTATAATCATTAGCCACCATAGACCACGAACTAAATTTGACAATATGTAGTACAAGACTTGCAGACTACCTAAGTCCATAGTAATGAAGAGCATTCGTCGAGTAGGCACTTTACACTTGAATGCAGCTAACAAACATACATTACAGGGGTTGTAATAATATCTTCGTAGAAACATTGTGAACACAATACTCTTGATTACAGATAAATTATCGATGAGGAAATTTTATGTATCTACTTATTCACAGTCGACTAATACACATACTCACAATACGAACTAACTTTTAACGAATCGTTATACATTATACAACATGTGCTTATGAAACACAATGTGTTTGTTCTTCCGATTAATAGCACATAATATTTCTAAATACATATATGGTACGCGGGGCAGTCAATATTGAGAGATTAGTTTGATGAGGTCGCGTTATTTATTAATTCAATTAAATTCACACATTGGCATCTACCATGTGGAGGTAACAGCCGTACGAAGGCAGTTCGATAACAGTGAAGTTCTGCATTCACCCAGTGTGTCTACAATACTTACGATACAGTTTTGTTCACATCACAGATGCTTGTACTGGTACCATCGATGTAAATAAATATGTATTCAAAATGATATCATAAACTAATGAATTAAGAATAAAGTTTCAATTTTAAAAATCAACATAAGCACTGGATATTAAGAGTCAAGACAGAAATTGTAAATTGCTTTCAATGAACATTGTACCGTTTCTTGTATTCTTTATTTACTTAAAAGTGACATAACACCCTAATGATTAACTCCAAAAAGCAGTCGTGGCACTGACCACTGAACAAATACAGGAGTAATGTCAACAAAATAATATTTGTCTTAAAGTTTTAATGTTAATTTCATAACTGAATCAATGCACATCGTAACAAAAATTAGATCAATAAATTGAGAAAAAGGTGTATACTAAATCCTAAAATCGCATCTGTATCCATTTTCTGAGTACAGTATAGTTGTTGAACGAGCAAAAGATGTGATGTTTAAAATGTAAAGAAAAGTGTTGTAGAAGACATTTTCAAATTCGAACGTTCTGCGTGAATTTTTGGCCACACTTGCAACGGCATCACGTTCTACCATCATAAATTTGTGGCTATACATCAGCAAATATGCTATAACTGCTGTAATTATTACGTAGCTCGATCACAATCATTGTCTCGTGATGTGTGCTGCGTTTGCTCAGTCCGGACAACAAGTGTGTAGCCCCGCCCTCTAATAGGTTTAATGTACATAACTCCCATACCATTCAAGATCAAGATAAATTCTATAGGACAGTATGAAAATGGATAAAATCGGAAAACAACTCCTCTCACTCCCCATGTAACGGCGCTAACAGCGCGATAAATCAATAACTAAATATGCCAGAAATTCCAATTGTGACTTTTTATCGAAAATCTTGATCAATCTCTGAGATATATTATGGAAATTCGGGGAGAATCCTTTGTTAAAATAGTATGCATATATTGTCAAAAATGAATTGAGTCGTATTAACAATTTCTTTGGCCCCACACAGGGTTTGTCCAGAAAGTAATAGGACTTGTTATCTTGCGCCGCTACTGCACTTGGTCAAGTAGGCTTACCCAGATGTTGCTTTAGCAAGAAGTGGTGTATTTCGGTGGCACAAGGCTTTTTTGGAGTTCGCTGATGAAGACCTTGCTGGGAGGCCTGCGACTCGACAATCACCGACAATGTGTGGGCAAAGTTTTGAACTCAGACCATCGACTAAGTATTCGTTTAATTGCCTAGATGTTAAATTTATCAAAATCTGTACTTCATGACATTGTGATGGAGTACTAGAACAAGCAAAGTGTGCGCGAAGATGGTCCCAAAAGTGCTCACTGACGACAACAAATTGCGGCGAGTGTAAGTGTACCTAACCTAGCTACAGACTGACCCATTGATGAGTTATACAAGTAATATTATACCAATCATTTCCCTACGACTAGCGAGTGTAGGGAGATTTATAAGTTTTAAACGGTTAGTGTAAGGGGGAAGRTTTAAACTGGAATCCCAATGCAAATGATTTAAGGCAAAAAGAAAAAATTGTTTTTGAACGGACTCTATTTTCTCAGAATGAACTAGATAACAAGGGTTCCATACCACGGGAGCATACTCTAATATAGGCCTCACCAGAGATGTAAAAAGAATTTTCGTGGTAAGCRGATCTCTAAATTCTTTAGRCCAACTTTTAACAAAACWAAGAGCGCCTTTAGCTTTAAAAACCGTGGAAGACGAGTGAAGATTAAAATTGAGTTTGGGGTCCATAGTTACTCCTAGATCAACAAAACTGCATACTTGCTCCAACCTAAAGTTTTGTATTGCGCATAAAGTAGGGTCTACAGATCTACGTGAAAAGCACATCGTTTTACAGTTTTTAAGATTCAATGGCATGTCATTTCTATCACACCAAGAAACTAAGCTATTTAAGTCTGTTCATGTTCTGTCAGACACTTTTCACTATTTGAGGTGAATGATTTAAAAAGTTTTACATCGTCAGCATATAATAAAACGTTTGAAAACTTAACAACGGATGATATGTCATTAATAAATAACAAGAACAGAATTGGGCCGAGATGACTACCTTGAGGAACGCCTGTAGGAACATTGATTATGTCGGAAAGAGTATCGTTAAATTGTTGAATTCTATTACTAAGATAAGAAGCAACCCATTTTAGAAATATTGGTTTAAAACCAAGAAGGTCAAGTTTATTTAAAAGAATTTATCAAAAGCTTTGCTAAAATCTGTGTATATAACATCAGTATTCTTTTTCTCCCTAAAGCCCGTTGATACATGTGATACAAATTCAAGCAAATTAGTTATTGTTAGATTTCCCTTTACGAAAACCGTGCTGAGAACAAGAAATTAGTGGAGAGATCCGGAAGGTTATGTCGTCTGTTATAATTGCTTCAAAAAGTTTAGGTATTGCAGACAACTTTGCTATTCCCCTATAGTTTTCAATAGATGACCTAAATCCACTCTTATGCAAAGGAATTATAAATGACTTTTTCCATATGGATGGAAATAAGCCTTGCATAAGAGATGAATTAAATAGTTTTGTTAGGGATTGGTATATATATTTGGCACATGTCTTAAGAATGTATGATTGTTCTAATATATTTAACTGATATAAGACGTCTGCTTCGGAAATATTAGGTGCATTAATGAAAGAAATCGGACATAGCTTGTGCTGATTAAAATTATCAACACACAATTTAAGTAAATTTCAAATCCTTCAATAGAAAAATATCACAGGGATACTTATCTGTACGGATCACTCAATTCAAAAATTTTCACAACAGTTTTAAAATATAAATTAAACAAATTAACAGGAGCTCGAAATTACACAGCTGAACACGAGACATATATAGGGCTACAAGAAGGTTTGGACTGATTTGCATTAGCTTGTGGGATCACTCAAACGCATTCAGCAATATATTACTAAGCAATTTTATAAGTTATTTATGTACTGACAAACATATTTGACATAAAATCTGTTAAAAATATGAAAATCATTATGTACAGTAAATGAATTTTGGGTAATTCGCAACTAAGCTGTAGAATATTATAACAAGTATGTATGAAAGTGATAAGTTCGGGTGTAACCGAACATTTTATAAGTTACTCTTGCAACTGGGAAATTCCTTCAGGTGCTGGAAAAAGTCTATTAAAATCTGTGGAGAAAAAGTGAATTAATTACAATAAAATTTGGTATCTTCTTGACTTACATATGGAATTTCATTAACTTGAACTCAGTCTTATTGCTATATTCTAATTTCCATTATTCTAAATCTATTTTAAAAATCTTCGAATAAGGCTTTTAACTTGCCTGAAAAAGGTAAATATATTATACTGAGTTGCTGATATAAACGTCATACAGATTTCATATTTGAAATATGAAGTTTAGACCAAGATATTGACTAATTCCGCTCAAATAATACGGAGTAAAGAAAAACCTGATTTTAATGATGAGTTTTAGAAAAACCTATTTTAGGCACAAAGATACACTGTTCTGAGTAATTGTCCATCTGTGAGTTCTATTGAGATAATTCGCCAATTTTCCAATATGTGCGATATAAAGCCACCCGGTATTTGGACATAAAGGCAAAGTTTTACGTCGTTATAGTAATTACTTCTAGATTTATGTACTGGAAAGTGAAAAAATCAGATGTAAACAAAATTAAAATCCGGGTGACTGTCTGTCTGACCATACATCCGTCCGTCCATGCAATCTGTAACTTGAGTAAAAATTGAGATTTACTGATGAAACTTGATATTCCACGCTCACAAAATGTCGTTAACCGAAAACCTATAAAGTACCATAATTAGGTACTAAAGTAAGATTAAAGCGGTAATTTGGTACAGGTGATCGCAGTAGTAATAAGTGGGTCTGGTCCCACCCTCTAATAAGTTTAATGTCCTAATCCACTAAAGCTGAGACAAACATTATGACATCGTCTTAATGATAATCATAGAATGGAGGAAATCGGAGGATAACTCTACTCACTTCCCATATAACGGTACTGTTCAAAACTACTAAAAACACATTAAATCAGTAATGCCATATTAACTTTTAGATGGTATGAGAGGGCTTTATAGGAGCCGGAGTGCGAATTGGACTATGGGCGTGGTACCGCCCACATTTTGGTGAAATTATGTTCCTACGGCACAATGTGAAAATGGGGTAAATCAGACTACAACTATTAGTTCTTTCAGTTTCCAGTACTCAAATCAAGAAGTAATTAAGTGTATGAGTTTTATAGAGTATATGTATATATAAAACTGTTAAGGTTCCGATCCCCTGGTTGAATTTTTACATCTTAAGGCATTTGCCTGACGTTGATTCTTGCTAATTTCAGGAAAATAAAATGTTCGTTTGGATCTGAACTTGGACCCTTCTTACTTGTCTTAATGCTTACTTTAGGCACTTTATAGCCTTTCCTTTGTGGCTTTCGCTTGTGGGCGTGACAATGTCCCTATTTCGCCTTTATTTTTTGCGAAAGAACATGTGTACCGAAATTCATGAAGATGTCTTGATTTATACACAAATTACAGATCGGACGAACGGATAGACAGACAGTCCCCCAGATTTCAATTTGTCTTTAATATAAAACTATAATACTCTGCATAAACGTGTTGCAATAGTATAAAATCAAAGGCCCGACTTTGAAATGTAGTTGCGATGTAAGAGGGAAATGTGGAAAATATCTATATTTTAACTTTGTTGAGACCTAACATAAGGTTTAGGTATTCCATAAGCTCAATTTCGAAATTCGAATGCAAATAATTTGATTTTGGGGGCTAGCTTCGAAAAAGAGAGCAATTCCTTTGTTAGTGAAGATTCAATCTCACGGAAAAGTTTCATGTAGTCCATATCTTTTTGTATTGCACCAAGAATCCTAGCTTAACGCTTAAATCTTTCCTGTGAATTGCAATTTAACGGAATATAAAAAAAAGAATTATTTTAAGTATATCACTTAACAATTGCTTAAAATTACTAAGGTTATTTTATGTGCTTGTGACAGAGGGATGGAAATATCCTTTTGAAATTCGAAAAATTATAAAAAAATCTCTAATCACAATTTCTTCCCAAAATAAATCTTCGTCTATTTTCCGTTTTGTCTTTCCATTATCAATAATTTATAACCAAATTAAATATTGCACCGATAAACGCTTTATAAATTTGTTTTTACATGTATATAACTATAATGTTTCCGTTATTATATATTTCATTACTTATTAAGAAAACTGTTTACCATCATTATGATTAATTAGTGCTTCTGTTAATATTATCATTAATGACATTGTTTTCCTTACGTACAAAGCAATTAATCACTTATTATTAGCAACCACTCTATTCTTACTCCTAACACTGCAACACTACCTTGACTGCTCGCTTTCTTCAGCAACGCAATTTCAATGTAATTTCCATCATCCTCTGCACGTTGCACGCTGAACACCATCGGCCCCACTGGTATACGCACAGCATTTCCACTAATAAAATCAACGAAACTCGAAATGCCTCGACCCGTTGCGGCACCACCCAATTTTTCTTTCTCCTTATCACCCACTGGTGGTAATTTTGCCAAATCCATGAAACCCAAGCTAATGGTCTCGCCGCGCCTGTAAGCCTGCAACATGTCAGTGGCTAGAGTATGGAGGCAACTGGCATTATTAGCACATTGCCAAGACATTTTTTCTGAAAAGTCCCTTTTCGTGCTGACATTTGACCTTTGCCGAGTAGGCTGTTGCTTTTTATAGCTTGGCTCATTAGCCGCAATTGACTCGGCCTCCTCCGTCTCTGCCTCGCCTTCGCCAATGGCGTTGGTATTACCACTAGCAACCGATGACAGCGCACGCGAATGCAATGCCGATCGCACAACGGAGATTTGCACGCACAGAACAAGCCACAAACAGAATGCCGAAGCTGCGAGCGCCCTCTTATTCGAGTACGACATTCTGGCAAATTTTTATTTTTTTTTTTGTTCACCGACAATGCGAGTTCTCTACGATTATATCGGTAAATGTATGTTCCTATTTATATTATTCCTTTTTAACAGCTCGAGAGCACATCTATTATTTACACTGATCGTTAACGCAACGCAAATGTCCTTGACATTGGACTGCGCGGCTGTACATTCGCCACGACTTTTCACCACTCTTGCACTGCTTTTCGGAGAGTTTTCTAGTATATATCAATAATATTTGTAAAATATTATAACGATAGAACGCGAGCGCGAACGTATTTTGCGGCAAAATGCGAAGTAGACTAAACACTCGACTGGGCATGCAACACGGTTTTATTGTCTTTGCCAGCCAGCAAGGCCGTGCTGATTTATCTGCCCCTGCCGCTATGTGCATAGGAACGTTTCGCTTGTGTATATATGCATGTATGTAGGTGTATGTAATTGTACATATATTAATTAGACAGTAATTTTGTTACCAATTTTCTTTGCTGCAATCTTCGCACTTATCACGTGTAATTTCTATGCTTTTAATATTCACTTACACCGCCTTGGCATCTGTTGCGCCTTTTGTTGTTGCAAGCATATCGGCTTACACGTCTGCAATTCGCAAGTATCAAATATAAGTGCGGCATGCAATATGGTGGTATGCAGCAAAAAGCACTCGCAATCACGAGCATTCATCACATTAGCATTGACTGCCACACCAATATGTAACAATATGCCAAGGTGTGCCCCCTGCTGCGCGCCTGTGAATGTTGACGGCTCTGCAACGAACACAGTCACTTTCAGTCAGTCACACAACACCTACTAAATGCCACACACAGCACCGCGTTCGTTACCGTTGCCTATTCAATTGTCTGCCACAGATTGTTAGCTCTTTGCTGTGCAAATGTGTAGCGAGTTGCATATTGTGCTCGCGGTGCTACACGCGTGCAGTATTGCTGGGCGGCTTCGGTGCGTCAACTTTGCGCTGCGCATTTTCTCCTTAATTTGTTTAAATAGCGGCAAGGAGGTAAATGTGCCTACAACCGTAGATCATTAAGTTAAAAGGGGTAGTAGTTGAACGATATCAGAAGAGAGCTGTGGTAATCAGACAGGAGAATTAGAAACACAAAGTGGTAGGTGTAACAGAACATGTGCTGCCCATTTCTGTGCTCTGAATTAGAGAGATTCGGTTAAACAAAGGAAGTCTCGTTTGTATGTATACTAGTATGAGTCTGTCTGTATTCCTTCATAGATTTTTATAAAGCCAAATTGAATATCAAATTATTACATCGATTTATTTAATGATGCGTAATAACTTTTACGTCAGTTTCGAACGACGTTGACTTTGATAATGCGCATCCTCATAGACAACATCCGTCCATCCATTTTATAGACAATTTTGCAGGAGGATCTGGATTTGCAAACGTACAAAATAAAACTCGTGCTAGAGTTGGAGCCGAACGACCTACAAGGGTGTCGCACTTTTCGTGTATGGGCACGAAATGAGATAGCCACCGACACCAATTTTCACTATTTTATTCATTCTGGTTGAATGGATACATTAATAAACAAAAATCTCGCATTTGGGGTGATGAAAATCCACAAGCCGCTAGACACTGTAACTTCTTCAAAAAGTTACTGTTTGGTTTGCTCTACTGAAAGAGGACATTATTGGTCCATATTCCGTTAAACATGAGGCCGGCCATAATGTTACAGTCAATTTAGAATGCTATAATGTCATGACGTGGACGGCCTTTGACACTAGACAGCTAACAACCAACGAAACATAGCAATCAATTTTTGAAGGAAACTTTCCGGAGAGCATTACTTCCCACCCTTAGCCAGTGCATGCAAATATGTATACTTACATATATGCATATATAAAACTCAGTATAATTCAACATTAACTACGGAATTTTTTACAAGTTACAATATTGTTCACATCGTAGATTCAATGTCATCTGAAATAAATTGAGAAGTGCAGAGAATTTAAAAATAGTAACATAGTATTTATATCCTCAGTTTATAAAACTCAAATACCATTTCGTCTAATTGGTTGGTGGATCGAAAAAGGACTAACGAATGTTTGAGTCTAGCGTCTATTTGTCGACTGGTGCGTTAGAATCTGCTATCTTTATCGATTGTCCAGTGAGGATGACATTTCATCGATTGGAAGTAAAGTTATTGCGTTTAAGTGTTTGTGCTATCGGTGCGAAAATGAGCTTCGATCAAAGAGCCAACTTAAATTTTGTTTTAAAATTGGTAAAACTTTTACCAAAACGTTTCAATTGATGAAACAAGTTTATGGCGATGATTGCCTATCCCGTAGCAGAGTGCACAAGTGGTTGCAACGTTTTCAAAGTGAACGTGAGGACATAAATGACAATCAACATGTGGGCCAATCAAAATTCGTGGTCACCGGAAATTCCATCGAAACTGTGGAACTGAAACAATGGAATTAAACATTGATATGGCACCATGCGACTTCTTCCTTTTCGGAAAAATGCATTTGCCCATGAAAGGAAAGCGTTATGCAGACGTAGAGGCCAATTAAAAGGCTTACTTGTCGACATACCAACGAGCTAAAACTCTCGGTCGACATGCTTGTGGAACGTGCAAAAAGCTGTATTGAAGCAGAAGGAGACTATTTTGAACAAAATAAATTGATTTTACTGAAAAAACCATTCATTCCGTTTGTGTTTTTTTTTTTAAAGTCCTGTTTACTTTCGAACGCTCCTTGTATCTATCTAATGCCGGCACTCCGGTTTCGTTAAAACCACCTATTTTGATCTCAACACTTGAATAGTAAGCACTCCAAAAGAAAACTTTGGTACTACGGTATGGCCTCAATCAGTCGGACAGAAGTGGAAAGTTGAAACATTTAATTCCAAACTATGTGGCATGTTGGCTTATTGTAAAGAAAATTTGTTGGCTTATTGTAAAGAAAATTTGACACTCTAATGTGCATACATTAGTGTGTGTTTAAAGTAGTATCAACCAACATCAAAGGGATGCCACTTCTAATACACATTTGCTTCTCTTTAGCTGTACCATACATACGTTCAACATTTGCATGTTTTCTTTTTAATATAAGAAACATCTAAGCAAGTAAAACTTAAATATACATATGTAAGTGATTTCTTTCGAATTAACTTTCAATTTCTACATTATTCTCTGAATATCGAATATTTTAATTTAAAATGTAACATTTTTTTTTTTGTTTGGATTTATTTATTTACAATCTATCAATTAGACAATAAGTCTTCTTCTTCTTGATTAGCGTAGATACCGCTTACGCGATTATAGCCGAGTTAACAACAGCCCGCCAGTCGTTTCTTCTTTTCGCTACGTGGTGCCAATTAGATATTCCAAGTGAAGCCAGGTCCTTCTCCACTTGGTCCTTCCAACGGAGTAGAGGTCTTCCTCTTCCTCTGCTTCCCCCGGCGGGTACTGCGTCAAATACTTTCAGAGCTGGAGCGTTTTCGTCCATCCGGACAACATGACCTAGCTAGCGTAGCCGCTGTCTTTTATTTCGCTGAACAATGTCAATGTCGTCGTATATTTCGTACAGCTCATCGTTCCATCGAATGCGATATTCGCCGCGGCCAACGCGCAAAGGACCATAAATCTTTCCCAGAACTTTTCTCTCGAAAACTCGCAACGCCGACTCATCAGTTGTTGTCATCGTCCAAGCATCTACACCATATAGCAGGATGGGTATTATGAGTGACTTATAGAGTTTGGTTTTTGTTTGTCGAGAAAGGACTTT